CCCTCGTCTCTTTGCTGTGGCTGGCGTTTGCAGTGCAGCGCTGGTGGTCTGGCCTCCGACCTGGCGGGCGGCGTGTGGCTGTCTCTCATGGTGGACACCAGAAGATAAGTGAACAGGTGTTTCCCAAGTGCCACTTGCTCAGTTAACTAAGATGCTGGTGATGGTGACCACGGGGGCGTGGTCAGGGAGAAATAATGAAACCCACCCTCGGGTGCAGGAAGGGTCAGGGTCACGAGCCCCTCAATGCACCCCTACCCCGTGAAACCCAGGGGCAGAGGGACCTCAGGGGAGACAGCAACAGCAAGGGACAGTGGCCCAGACAAAGGTGTGTGCAGGAGGGGGCAGGGCGAGAAACCGTCTGGTAGCGCAGCTGTGGGCAGCTGGGCCTCGAACCCCAGCCAGGCCCAGCTGCTCGGGTCCCAAGCCCAGGAGCACAGCGCTCCCCTCGCTTCTCTGGTCCTGCCTGGTGGAGTTACGCCCCAGGTTCTCTTTGGAAGTGAAGCTTTCTCTTTGCAGCAGGAACGCGATACCCATCTCAGACCACTTTAGTGTCCAGGTAGCTTCCTTGGCTGGAGTGGCTCGCTCAATCTCAGTGTGTGGCTTTTTCTCCCTCGCCGCTGTTCAGAAGAATCCTCCGACCCCAAGCCTGAAACGGATGAGATGAACGAGGTGGAGACAGCTCCCGTTCCTGAAGAAAAACACACCCGGGTCCAACCGAGGGTGTCCCAGCCTGTGAAGCCCAAGAAGACGCCCGCGGTCAGCTTCATGAGTGAGTCGGCCACGCCCTGCCTGTGGCCTCCCTCCCGGCCTCCTGATGGGGGGTGGCCTAAGAGGGCTCCACGGTGACAGGCAGCAGGAGCGAGGTGGGCGTAGCTTACAAAAGCACAGAAACCCTAGGATGTTTTAAAATGGTGTTTTAAAGTCAGTTCAAAAGCAGCTTCATGGAAGTCGTGCGTGGGTGGCGTTTTTTCCAGGCAGGTATTTTAAGGTTGGAGAGGACCCTGTGTTTTCAGGGGATCCTGGGCCGAGGCGGGAAGTTCAAGACCCTCAGAGGGAGCGCAAGGCGGGCAGCGGCCAGGCTGGCCCCTCTAGGTCCCGCTCAGTCTTCGCCAGGTGTGTCTCAGTGCCAGCTGGCCCTGGACTCCCAGAGTTGGTGTGTTCACCCACGAAGGGGACAGCTGTGCCCACGTCAGAGTGCCACGAGGGCCCCTTGCTGTAACATCACCCAGCGTCAGTAAGGTCTCCCTGTGCTTCGAGATTATCACGAAGCTGTCTCCAGTGTCCCCACTGGGCAGGAAGTCGGTGCTTCCTCCAAATTTCTAGAAATTCCTACAGGGACTGTTGGGCGCTCGCCTCCGGCCCCTGTGGGCTCCCTGGGCACCACACCCCTCTGCCTGCGCAGGGTAGAACCAGGGTCCTTCCGAGTTCCCCAAATGCTTCTTGGGGTGGTGGAGGGCATTTCTGACAGACGGGGTGGCCGGCCCAGCTGGTGCCCTGGTTTGCTCAGTTCCCCCCAAGCTCAGGCAGCATCAAACTGGACTTACCCCTGAGGACACCCCTGGGGCCCCCTTCTCTCGGAAAGCGCCGCCTTGCCCACTGGCTCGCCACTCCGTGACTCTGGACTCCCTGCCCCACCTCCATCGTTCCATCATTTGCTCTGACCACAGAACAGCTGAGGCCCGTCTGCCCGCACCTCTCCACAATGCACGACCATGCCTCTGCCCAAATTGCTGACCCTCCACGGCTCTGACACGCCCCTAGAAAGGCAGCGACACAGGAGAGCCAGGCGAGAGCCGTCCTGGCTGCGAGGCAGGGGGGCAGGGTGCCTGGCCCAGGTGATAAGGATGCGCCTTAGCACCTTGCAGGTCCTGCCTCCCGAGCCCCATGGGCACGGGGCACGTGTGTGGGCCCAGCACCGCCATGACCACGTGTACTCCCTCCCCGAGTGCTCACGAGTCCCTGAGCCGGGTTCTCCTAACTGTCCCCGCTGCTGATACGAGAAGTGGAGCCTAGCGTAGGAGTGAGCCCAGGGCCACGTGGCCACTGCCCTGTGGTGCTCTGGGACTCCAGTCCCATAGCCAAAAGCCTTGGCCACAGACCATTGCTCTTGCTTTCACTATGGCTGGGATTCCAGAATGTTCCGGGATGTCCCTCAGAGTGAGGAGGGGTCTTAGCCCGAGCTCACCCTCCTGGCTTCTGACCGTGACGTGTCTCTCTGTGCCCCCAGCCCAGATTGTGCGCTGTGACACCAAGATGAAGGACAAGTGCAGAGGGTCCACCTGCAACAGGTGAGCTGGCCAGCCTGCTCGGGGGACCGTGTCGTCTGCTCGCTGATCGCTGCAGGCAGCCTGGGGCAAAGGCCCTCGGCCCTTGCAGCACGGAGCGTGGGTGCAGGTAGAGTCAGCACCCCACCCTGCTTTGCGTCATGTCAGACTGCCATGACGTCGCCGAGTGCTCCGGGCCGTCACCCCAGGGAGGGCTCGGCACACAGAGGCCACCCCTTTCTGCCAGCCTGGGCCAAGCTTCCCAGACTGGGTGCCCTACCGAGCACCCCACCCTAGCTCCCACTGCTCGATCCAGGAGCAGCCGGGGGCTAGGGCAGGCTCAGCTGCAAGCCCAAGAGCTGCGAGGCCTGACCTGGGCTGTGTCCCTGGGCCCCCACCAGACAGACAGCTGCCAGTGTGTCCCTAGCACCTGCAGAGTGGCGTGGTACCACCCACTCAGGTGCTGAGGGTCTGCCTGGAGGAGGGAGCGTGCCTGGGGCTTGCTCTCACTGGCAGTCAGCAGCCCCAGGGGCAGCCGCCTCCCACGGCCCCTCGGGTGCAGTGGAAGCGGCCCCCTTCCTGTGGATCCCGGAGTCCGTTTCCCTGAAGTGGAGCCTAGTTATTTAAGCACAGGCTTCTCCTGCCCCCTGCCCCGCCCCAGGGACCTGGAGTTTGGTTTACCGGAACGTCTTGCTCAGATGCCGGCAGGAGTGTTATAACACAGCCCTCGGGGATTCAGGGTGCAGCTGAGCGCTGTCTCTTTCCTGTGAATGCCTATCTGCCGACAGGCCTGCACACCCACCGTAGGCATGGCAGTAACGAGCTGTAGTGCTGTGGGTGTTTGTACGGCTGGGCACCCAGCAAACTGACTTGCTCAGCAGAACCCTCTGTACCCAACCACAGAGCTGTTGGAGAGAGCGGTGTCAGATCTTGGGGAATGTAGGCACGCTCACCCCAAACACGCTCTCTGTCCTGTGCAGGTATCAGTGCCCTGCAGGCTGCCTGAACAGCAAGGCGAAGGTTTTTGGAACTCGGCTCTATGAAAGTGTAAGTGGTCAGCATTTCTGCAAGTGGCTTGCATGGGGTCCCCTGCCGGGTGGTTTTTTTTTTAATTTTTTTTAGGAGGATTTTGCTATAGGGCGCATGCACTTGCCAGAAAGACAGAGAGAGACAGAGAGACAGAAAGCGAGAAATCACTCCCCAGGGGGGATGGCCACGCCCCAATCCCTTCTCCTCCATCCTCCTCTTAGAATCTTGGGCACGCATGCACACCTGCCCGGCGTGAGTTTAAGTCACCGGGTCTGGGACTAGAACCGGGGTCGACTACATGGGAGTTTAGCGACATAGCCATTACGCTAACTGCTGGTCTCACCTGTCATGTGTTTTTAAAGGAAGTCCTAGGAAAAGACCCTCTTTCCACCCCTCAGTCAAAACCAATGTTTCTAGAATAATCCATGTGGTATTTACAGGCTTATAAGCCTGTGAAGCCACTTTTGGGAACAGGGACTAATCCTTACGAAGGCCGGTCTCTGTGGGGACCAGGGTTACATGCTCGACTGGACGGGGAGAAAGGGCTGTTTGTCGCCCTTCTTCCTTCGCAGAGCAACTTGGGTGGGTGTTAGGAGATAAGGGACAAAGACATGGTTATCGCGGGAGGCAGGCGTCGGGGCGGGGAGCTTGGCCTGTCCGCTCGGCTCTTAGTGGTCGAGGACAGACGTCTCGGGTACTTCTGACGGAGATTAACGCCGAGCACGCCTGCTCTCTCCCCGCGCCCAGTCGTCCAGCATCTGCCGGGCTGCCATCCACTACGGCGTCCTTGACGACAAGGGGGGCCTGGTGGACATCACGAGGAACGGGAAGGCCCCCTTCTTCGTTGAGTCTGAGCGGCACGGCCTGCAGACTCTGAGGTGAGCTCTGGACGCTTTCTCTGACGAGGACAGCGTTGTTGAAGCGTGGAAATGTATCGAACGTGTGAAGCAGCAGAAGACACACCGTAGCTCGGGGATCAGCCGCCAGCACATTCCACTCCAGTGGGCTCCTGTAAACCGACAGCTTTGAATCCTACTGCTCCTACTCCCTGTCAGACGAGCCACGGCACGATTAACCGTGTCCTGAGCTCATTTTCAGTTAGCGCTGTTTTCCCTCTCTCCCATGAGTGAGAGACTCAGAGAGAGGAGACAGGCACCCCATGGGATCCCGACGCCACGCTCCACCCCTGGTCCCCGCCAGCCCTGGATCGTGAGTGTGTGCACAGGCCCAGTGTCCTCAGGGAGGTCTCTGGCCACGAACCCGGAACCTTCCCACGTGGTTCAGCCTTGCAGAGCACTTCGCTGCTGCGCCGGCTCTGGCCACGAACCCGGAACCTTCCCACGTGGTTCAGCCTTGCAGAGCACTTCGCTGCTGTGCCGCCTCTGGCCCCAGTACTTTTATTTTACTTTCTAGAGAGTGAGGCTTTTATTTTTTTAAATATCTCGGTTCCCCCACAATGCCATGTATCCCTGGCTGGCTGGGCAGTGGGCCGATTGTCCTCCTGGCACACTTACTGGGCAGCTGTGTGGAAGGGGGCAGGCTGTGAACAGCAGGTGCCACTGGGGTGCTCCTGTGTCATTGTGTGGGACCAGAGGTGTCAGGTGACCTGGAGCCCAGGGAACCCACTGGGGACTCTAGGTCATACAGACTGGCTCCACGGCCTTCCTGCTGTGTGACTTCACCCCTGCTGGGGCAGTGCCCTCGTTCGTAAGGAGGGTCACAGCAGGACTCACGGCCCACACACAGCCTTCCACACCAGGACAGCCAGCCCACCGTGGGGAACGGGAACTTCCCCCGTGGCTAGGAGAGAGCTGTTTCCCCAAGCCCTCAGAATGCACCCCCCAGGCCCAGGTGCCGCCTCCCACCCTGGGCCAGGCAGGCTCGTCATCCCTGGGGTCATCCCCGGTCGAGGCTAATGCACTGACAGAGAAGCGTGGCTCTAATTCCTGCGTGACTCCCTGGATACTTAGGTAGAGGCGTTAGTGATGAGCGATTCCGCCATGGTGTGAGCTCACCTCGTGCATTTTAGAACATCGCTCTGAGAAGGGAGGGAGCCAGAGGCCTCATCGGGCTGTCAGAGGCGGCCCGAGGAGCCCTGCTCTAGGATGTTCTAAGAGCTAGCAGGCCCCCAGGAAGCCAGCGTGGCGTGCGGCGTCGAGGCCGTAAGTGAGATGGCTTCGGAAGCAGTGCCGCTGCCCTCACCTGCTGTCTCCTTTCGCAGCAAGTACAAGCCGTCCAGCTCGTTCACGGTGTCCACAGTGAAAGGTGAGCTGGCTGGCCTCGGCTGGTCGTGTCACACGGTGGTCCCTGGGGCTTCCCTGCAGGTGCCCCTTCCTGATTCGACGCCCAGCAGGCCTGCCAGTCTTTGTCCTCCACATCGGAAAGATTTTCCAGGGTTCCGAAGAGGTCATTTCTTTAACCGTTAATAGTTCCTAAACATACCTGTACCTGAAGCTGGCCCTAGATCGCCGAACCAGGAACACGGGCCAGGGGCTGCCAGCTGCATGCCACTCACACTGGTGCTCCGGTCGGGCGGCTCCGAGGCTTCACTGGGTGTGCGTGCGTGTGTGTGTGCACATGCGTGCTTTCTATCGCTTGGTCATGTCTGCCGGGAGCGTCACGTCCAGGAGGACTCTCAGACCTCCACGTGGGCTCGTGGAAAGCGATGAGCAACGTCTGCTGTGGACGGGAGCGGGCGAGTGGGAGTATGAGCTCTCCAAGCCCAGCTCTTCATGGGCTCAGGGCGTCCGCAGGGTGGGACGACGCGTGGGGAGCAGAGCACTTCAGGTTTAAAAATCGCCACTCAGAGAAGTGCCATTGGTCCCTGGGAACAGCTGTTGCTGGGGGTGTCAGCACCCTGACTTGCACATGCATGCACTTGGGCGGTGGCCGTGTGTGTGTGTGTGTGTGTGTGCGTGCCCTGTGTGAGGGCGTGGGGAACCCACAGTCTGGGCCATTCGGAGGCCCATTTCCCAGGCCTGACCATCCACCCGTGTCCCCTTCACAGTGCAGGACGTGGACTGCTATGTCACGGTTGCTCAGCTCTGCCCATTTAAGAAGCCCGTCTCCCACTGCCCAAGGTAAGGTGGGGAACAGTGGAGGGGGTGGGGCCCTCGGGGGTCTCTGGCAGGGGCGTCGCCTTCTTGCTGGCCTGGCTGGCGTCTGAGAGCCGGCACCAGCTGTCCGTGTTCAGTCCATCGCCCTGTGCTCACCAGGGCCCTCTAGCCCGATCCTTAGACGGCTGACTCTCAACCGGCCCTGCGGCGCAGTGAGAGAACCAGATTTCCCGGCCCTGCCCAGACCCGCCAAGCCTGGCGGTGAGTCCAGCGAGCAGCTGTGCCCCAGGACTGCTCTCCAGCAGCCGTAACTGAGGCCCGGCCGCGTCCCCTTGACGGGCTCTGCTCATCAGAGAGGGCGCTTCATTAGGAGTGACTCTCCAGCCTTGCCCCACCCAGATGTCTCGGGCCTTGTCACTAGTCTCTTAGCTCAGGTCTGTGCTGAGAAGGTCGTTCATCCCCTCTAAGCCGACATGTTGTTTCTTGTGCTTGATCTGTGCTGTCTCCTGTGGGCCGTGGGTCCCCTTAGAAGGAGCTGTGTAGCAATCAGCATTCCTGGGGACACAGCCCGGCCTTACACGTATATAACTGGATGTGCTTGGACAAACAGACAATTCTCAGCCGAGACTGAGATGTCGTCACCACCCCAGGGGTGCCCGCCCCCTCCACCTCCCGCCTGCAGCCCGGCCAGCCCCGTCTCACGGCCTGTCCCTCTGCCTTCCTGGCCCGGGGACCTTTGCTGTGCAGACTTCCAGGCGGCTCCCTTTGCTCCGCGTCCGCTCTCGAGCCTGGTCCGCGTGCTGAGTGCTCCGCACAGGCACGGCCATGTGGTCCCCGTCCGGGGCTGCATTGTGATTTGTTCGTCTGAACCTCAGTTAACGGTTTCTAGGCTGAGGCCTCGTAGCATGCATAGAAGGCGTCCTGGTGACCTTGGACTAGAAGAACCTGTTAGATCCCATGGAAGGGGACACCGAAATGTCCGTGTCTGGATGGGTGGAGGGGCCTCCATCGGTGAACTGAAGAGTGTCGTGGACGTGTCCCTTGTCATGCAGATGCTCCCCAGCCTCCAGAGGGACATGGGAAGGCTGAGTGCCCTTTGAACACAGCAGGCACCCTCCGTGGCTCTACCGCAAAGCGGTGGCCGTGGTGGGCATCCCGGTACCCGGGCTGAAGCGCTCTGGGGACAGCACAGCTCTCGGGCTGGGTGAGGTAGTCGACGAGCCCTGATCCTGGTCTGGAGACATGTGTGACCTCGGGGAACAGTCAGTGCAGTCCTCCAGGTCTGAGTGGGGACTGCCCCAAGAGGGGGCCTTGTCAGGAAGAGGGGCTCTGTTCTCTTCGCTACTTGCTGTCAGTGGGCCGAGGCTTTCTCTCTGGCTTCCCCACACCCTCCTCCACCTCGCCACTCCCTCTTGAATGTTCAAATGGGGCTAACATCCTTTTAATAGATTGGCCTGAACATTAAAGAGAAGTGGAGGGAATCATGTCAGTAAATACTGAGTACATGCATCCAAAATCCCAGCTCTGCCCCGCCGTTCCAGGAGCTGTAGGGAGAGTGTTCTCAGACTCCCAACGCCTTTTATTTTAGCACACACCCTTCCACGCACAGCACACGCACACGCGCACACTTGCCCTCCACCCGCCCCGTTCACATCTAAGAGCTGTCTCAGCCTCTCAGCCCCTTGGCCTCCTTTCTCCCCTCCAGGAACCCTGCTGCCTCGGGCCACGTGGCTTCCAGCTGCCATCTTGCTTTCTTGGCCCTGGGCTCTCGCCCATGGTGTTCCTTCCAGATCAACACAAAAGACCTTTTCTCGAGTAAAGCCTGTGCTTCCCTGGTTTGAATCTCTCAAACGCCCAGGCCCACCCCTTTCCAGCTTCCCTCCCACTCCCCTGTGCATCAGTAGGGTCAGGGCTGCGGGGCTGACAGCGAGCCAAGCCCAGAGTACTCTGTGACTCGCTGAGGTGAGGCCCTCCACCCTCTCCCCTCCACACAGGAAGTGGCCTCAAAAAGCCATTGATTGTAATCTCCAGTGTGCCCTGGCCGGCACCCAAGGACAGGCGTCCCACACTCATCCGTCTTAGGTCTTGGTCCTTTTCTCCTTCTTTGTGTGCGTCTTTCTGTAGGGACTTTCTAAATTCCATACACGCGGTTTAAAAAGAATGAAGATGTCTTTACCACTGCTAAGGTGGGAGAGTATTATCTTTCTTTTTAGAGTCAAATTCTTTCCATCTGAGAACATAAATCATGAAATCTAAATAAAGAGGACCAGGTCGGGGAGCTTCGTTTTTGCTGATCACGCTGTCACATGGCCGCCTCCTGTCTTCCAGAGTTCGATGTCCAGCCCGCTGTAAAGATGAGCCGTCCTACTGGGCTCCCGTGTTTGGGACCAACATCTACGCGGATGTGAGTACGCTGACCCCCCTCAGAGCTATCGAGGCCTCGGACACCACGCTCCAAGGTTTAGATACTGAAACCCGAGCTTCCATCCCAGTGCCCCTAGCTCACGTAGGCCACCCGTGTCTGCAGCCGCTGCCCCGTTCTCCTCTTATACGGGTGTTAGTCCTTCCATGTGCCCATCCCTATGAGTGAAGGTCCCAGTGTGCCTCATCTTATCCAATGTCTTCACAGTTCGGAGACTTTCATGCTTCACGTACTTCGCTTTCCCGATGCTTAATCTTTCCAGCTCTCCGGGGCTTCTGCTGTAGGGACTGGGCCACTCTGTCCTCTGCTTTCTGATTATGCACAGCCTTTGTTGAAAGCACATAGAAGAAAATACAGCTGGCCTCTTAACTCCCTACTTGGTAAGAAGTACTACTGGGTTGGAGTCTCGCCCATGTTCCTCTCCCAGTTTTAGCAAGGAAGCCTCAGCCTGCTTTTCTTAAGTGGACCCTCCAGAACACATGTTCCCTCAAGGTGTCCAGGATTTAGGAGTACAACCCAGAGGACACGCATGCTCTTAGCATGGGATTGCCAGCCGGCTGTGTGATCCCACACAGTGGACCTCCCTGTGGAATGGCCCACGGCTGGGGTTATGCAGGCCGGGACTTCCGGCTAAAATCCCAGGATTCGATCAGTGTCATTGGTCCCCAGCTAACTTTTAACCCGACCTCCCTTTAGCCTTGTTCCATGGCCCTCCCTCACGCACCACCTTCCGTCTGTCTGTCTCCATCTGCTGCAGATTCCGGCAGTGTGAGGTCACTGAGTTCTAAGGTCAAAGTCATTTTCATGACTAAGCTTTTGTTCCCATTTTTTCCTTTTCTCTTAAATGACTCTTCTTTCTCAAAACTAGTCAGCTAAGATGTACATTCAAAAGTTAGAATCTTTATGAAAGAGTTAAAGTAGATCAATTGTTACACTAAGAGTTTAAATCAAATTCTGCATTGGAAAGACAGACTGTTGCTTTTAAATGATTTAAACATAATGAGATGAACATTCCAGCCAAATACAGACAGAGCGGAGTGGGATTGCTACCCCAGAGGGTGGGAGTTAACGTAAATGCACTGGTAGGTTACTCTGCGGTGGCGTAGAAGGTGCATTTTATGAAAAAGATACGAAAATCGAATCTATGCACCAAACAACAGCCTCCGAGCCCGCAGCCAGCACTGGCAGAGGCGAGCTGAAAACGGAGGTGTGTGTGGCGTCAGACTCGACCCTGCCCTGCTCCGTTCTCCCCCGACAAATTCACCTTCCCTCGGAATCACTGCACAAACAGGTGTGTGGCCAAACCTGTGAAGCCTCTGATGAATGTGCCCACCGGGCTTTGTGCTTTGGGGACCCCGATGTTCATACAGGGCTCTGCGCACCGTGATTGAGAGTTCACTGAAGGAATACATATGCGAAGATACTACAGAGTCGATGCTTAAATGGCTCTTCCAAAAAAAAAACATGAGGAAGGGAGGGAGGAGAGAAGGGAAGGGGACGGAGGGAGAGGAGGAGGAAAGCCCCGTCTACCTCAGAAGCTCTTTCCTGGCCCTGGTTTCTAGGTCACTCGGTGTTCTGGGAAGTGATGTCTGTTGGAAACTGTGAGAGAGGCTTGTTTGGGCGCGTTGTCTCCAGACCTCTGAAGGGCCGTGGTGCCCGCAGTCCCGCCTGTGCACCGGGAGCGGGCTTCCTGGCAGACTCCTCACTGGGAGAGCTGCGGGCCGGAGCAGCAGCGGGGCGTGGCCCGAGCTCAGAGCCCGGCCCGGCCGCGACAGTGTTGGGCTGTGGGGAGCCTCTCCACTCTCGAAACCTCAGGTTGTTACCCACCCTCCCGTCTCGGAGCTGAGGTGGGCTCTCGCATGTGTTCATGCACCAGAAACCCTGAGGGTTGCTAAGGCAGGTTTTCCGGGTCCCAGAAGTCACTGATTCAGCAGGTCAGGGGTGGAGCAGAGTTGGTGTCTCCTCTAATAGCCAGAGGGCAGACGTGGCCACCAGAGAGAGAGGAGGAGAGGGGACAGCCCCCTCCCGTTTCTCATCCTGGCGGGGTGCTGGCCCTGCACGCCTGTGCCCTTGCTGGGGTTTCAAGCCCCAGGGCTGATATTCGAACCGTGGTCAGCCATGTGGACTCAGCTTCCTTAACCCTGTGCTGCGCACTCACACCTGGCGGCCCGGTCTGACCGGTTTCCCGATACGGGTGCTGCTGCGCGGAGACTGCGGAGTTGACAGTCCTTTGGGAATTCCCACAGTGGCAATGGTGACAGTGGCGGAGATGGTGGTGTTCGTCTTACTGGGGAGAGCTTTCGGGCACTCCCAGGGCACAGCCTGCATCCGGCCCTTGGCCTTCCTCAGCTCCGCCTTTTATTCCTGTGTAGCCTGGAGTGCAGCTTGCTGGCTCCAGGGGGCGGCCCTGGCTGTGCCACTTACCAGCCGAGTGACCTTGGGCAAGGGCCCAAGTCTGCCCGTGTGCTGAGAGGGACTCTGAGTCCTGATGCCCAGGTCGCAGGGACGGCGGCATCGCCAGGGCCACGCACGTGGACTGCTTAGCGCCGGGCCTCGGCAATGGTAACTGTGACGCTCCCCCACACCACGGAGGAACCAGTGGCCGGGGGCCTTCCCCGCCACTCAGCCCAGCAGGGTCAGTCGCCAGCCTCTATGCAGATGTGGCCTGTTAATAAATACGAGCACAAGGCATCAGGGCGAGCAGGTGGAGTAGTGGTTAAGGCAGTGGACTTGCACATGGCTGATCACGGTTCAAGTCCCGGATATGGCAGCATGCCGCGTGCCCAAAATCCCAGAGGAGGATGGAAGAGAGGAGATTGTGGCGTGGCCATCCCCCTGGGGGTGATTTCTCACTTTCTGTCTCTCTGGCATGCACATGCGCCCTACAAGGCATCAGGGCGAGCAGGTGGAGTAGTGGTTAAGGCAGTGGACTTGCACATGGCTGATCACGGTTCAAGTCCCGGATATGGCAGCATGCCGCGTGCCCAAAATCCCAGAGGAGGATGGAAGAGAGGAGATTGTGGCGTGGCCATCCCCCTGGGGGTGATTTCTCACTTTCTGTCTCTCTGGCATGCACATGCGCCCTATAGCAAAAATTTCTCTAAAAAAAATAAAAACAAAACAAATACGAGGCGCCTTCAAAAGCTCATAGAAAACACGCAGTGTGAAAACCTAAGCGTGGACTTCAAAGTGTGCCTCAACAAAGTGAACTGCACTTTAAGTTCATTCTCCACGCGCTCCGGGTCAGTCACATGCAGCATATCACACAGGCCCTGAGCAGAGGCGGCAGACACCATGACGCCCTGTACCTCAGAAGCATGGTGACAGGAGAGTAGGGAGGAAGGAAGAGGAGGAGTGAGGCAGGGCGTTGGCCCCACCAGCGGTCAGAGCAGTGCCCGTTGATAACGGGCAATGGCCTGGCCCGTGGCGTGAGAAAGATCTGCCCATGCCTTGCTGTTAGCACACAGAAATGTCCAGCTCTCGGTGCCCAGAATCCCTCCAGGGATGGGCAAAGGACCAGCACCGCGGTTGCCAACCAGGGCCTCATGGCACCTCTGGTCAAGAGGATGCCTGTCCGCAGCCAGGGCCTGCAGAGCTTAAGCTGCTGAGTGCAGAGGTCAGCCGTCCTGGGCCTGGCCCCGGGCCTCACGGTGCTGGAGGCAGCAGGCAGAGAGAGCAGCGCTGGGCTGGCGAGGACGCGTGCTCGCTCAGAAGTGCACCCCTGCTGACGGCCACAGCGGAGGAAACAGACCCTCCTGGTCAGAGGGCGGCTGCAACCTCAGGGCCTCGCCCTGGGCTCAGGAGCCCTGTCCTTGTTCACGGGATGTATTTACTGAGGAAGACGAGGGTGTTTGTGTGGGATTAAAACACGCCTCCGTCACGTGGTGTCCGTGGTGGAAAGCAAGGAATGCAGTTTTGAGACTTTGGTGAGACCGTCACAGCGACATGGACGCCCAGGGAAAGGGCAGGGCGGCTCCCCTCTTTCTGCTTCTCTTGTGACCTGGATGTGGAGGGCGGGGCAGCAGCTGAAGTCTGAAGGGCAGAGCTGTCCCTCCAGGGCTCGCGCTGTTTCCGAAAAGCTGCAGGTCGGGCTAGGTAGCAGTCACCGCCCAGGCTGGTAGGTCCCCCTGGCATTTTCCGGGAGCCCCCGTCGGCCTCCCTTGCACCCAGTCTGGAGTCTGGCGGCTATTCCAGTGACAACAACGGGACAGTAGCCGGGCTGGCACTCCAGGTGCCTGGTGGCTTCTCAAAGTGCCCCCGCCCCCACCCCTGCATT